GACCTTACAGTTGGCACAGAAAGTTATCTATCTAATCAGATCAAGGGGTTGCATGCCGTGTGGCCCTTTGGAGGAACAACAACACCATTGTTCTTAGTAGAGTCACAAAAATACGCACTTTAAAAGTGACACTTTTATTCTCTAGTATTACCAAATCATAAACATCAACTTTAAACAGATTGTCCAAACCTAAATAACATGTTCTGTAATATAAGAAGACAAGTTTAACGTTGTAAATGAGTGGAATAACACTTAAGTGTGAAGTGCTTACGACCACAGCTTAAAGTATGTGGCACCAGAATGCATCTTTCTAAAGTTTTTCTTTTTTCCCTCGCATAAACTTGAAGGAATTTTCACTTTAAATGATACGGAAATAACTATAAACGGAGGAGAAGAATCTAGAGATGATGAATATCAGTAAAAGTACGCAATTGCATGCATAAATAGGCATTTCGCTCATTCATTGTAGCTGAAAGAAGAAACCAAGTTATATAGGTGAAGAGCTTATATTATATATAAACATTAAGCATGCCTGGATCAACAGATCCTCTTGTTATCGGAGGTGTAATAGGTGATGTTTTGGAGCCATTTACAAGTTCTGTTTTTCTCAGGATACTTTACAGCAATTCATTTCAAGTTATGAACTGTTGTGAGCTGAAACCCTCACAAATCCTGAACCAACCAAGAGTTGAAATTGGTGGAGATGATTTCAGAACCCTTTACACTCTGGTATCTCTATATATAACTTTCTCATTTATATTATCTACTTTCTCAATTTTTCTGGAATTAATAGCACGTTTTAGGGTTTTAATTAATCCATTGATAGTTAATTTTATTGCATACATATTGTAGGTGATGGTGGATCCTGATGCACCAAGTCCAGGAAATCCAAATCACAGGGAATATCTGCACTGGTAAGTGCTCCTCCCTTACAAAAACATGGCAAAAGTTGCACCAATATTATTCTTTCACATCTACACCTTTATTTAAACAACATTTTATCACTACTTACAAATTTTATCTCTCTTTTTCCTACTATATTTATGACATGTTTTATTATTAACATAATCTCATTTATATATGGATTAAGTAAAAAAAGAAAATTTTAATTATTTTTTTAATCTTAACACTTAATTTATGACATGTATTTATATCTTTTTGTTTTCTTGTCAAGATTGTAATTGTAAAATTATAAATATATATATATATATATATATATATATATATATATATGAAATGATTTTTAAATTTAAGTTCTTAATTTTGATGTTTAACAAATTGAGCTCTTATATGCTATTCTATCTTTCGAGTATTGTCTTCCTGGGAATCGTTATCTAAGATGTCTTTTTTTTTGTCTTCGATGGATGTCCAGGTTAGTAGCCAACATTCCAGGAACTACAGGAACAAACTTCGGTACGTTCTTAGCTTTTATTTTATGTTTTTTTTTTCTAATTTTTTTTTAATTATATGCTAACATACTACAAATTATATCTACGTATAGTAAGTAATATATTCTATAAACATCTTTTAATATTTGGTTTATCCATACATACTCTCTTAGCATACTAAGATTGAGTCTCCATTTTTAAAGTGGGACTGATCAGTGCAGTTGACATTTTACGAGTCAGAATTAGCTTAAAACGGGTTAACTCGGCTCGCATTGCTAATCCTACTAATAATTAGACATAATAATCATTAATTTAAACATTTTAATAATAGTTAATTATGGTGGAATATGTTTAACAGGTGAAGAGGTTGTGGGATATGAAGCTCCACGACCTATGATGGGGATTCATCGTATTATTTTCATACTGTTTCGTCAACCTAGCAGACAAACTGTGTATGCTCCGGGATGGCGCCAAAATTTCAACACCAGAGATTTTAGTGAGCTTTATAATCTTGGATCACCAGTTGCAGCAGCCTACTTCAACTGCAAACGACAACTTGATTCTACTCGAAGGAGATAGATAATACGACACCAATATCCTAAACCCTAAATTTCGAAATAATGTTATTAATCTACTCTCTTAATAATTATCATATCATCTTAGGTTTCGACAACATATAGTTGAAGACTCCAAATCAGAAGTATCACCCTGTCCTTTTTCGAAACCAGTGATCCAAAAGTACACAGATTACTTTTGGCTTTATCTATTTCCTGCATATATGAGCAATAAAACGTACTATGTATGGATGCATATCTATTCATTTTCAATTACTTTATATATATCCTGCAAACTCTCAATATCAGATATTATTATAACATGTATAATTTCGTTTATTATACTAACTGATTTAGAAAATATATACAATATTAGTACGTTACATATTGAGTCCATTAACTTAATAAGCTAGTAATGTTTATTTTAATGTTTTAACTCTGTCAAACGAATTTATTGAAAAGATAAATGACTAAAAAAAAAAAAAAAATTAAAAAAAATTTAATTAAAAGAAAAAAAAACAAATTAAAAACCAATAAAAAAAAAAGAAAAAAAAATATGCCCTGTGTTGTGTGGGCTTGGATTAATGTAACCTTTGTCCACAAACAAAAACATCGTAATATAAGAAATTGGATTTCATCAACTGCCCCAAATCCAACCACTGGTCCAAATATTAAAATATGAAAATAATAATAGGCTTAAGTTAAACTTTAATTTCTATTTTTATCGAGTTTAATGTGGTTTTTCTTTTTCATGTTCTCCACATTTTTATTAATTTTGGTTAATTTGATTTTTTAGTAAATGTGTTTAAGTAAATAACGAAACTGAATTATGTATAACACGTGTTCCAGATCCTTTTAACTTTTTATAGTTTTTTTAGTTTTTCTTAATTTTAAAACAATTGTTTACATGTCAAATCAATATCTAGAAACAATGTTACATATCAAGTTATTATGTCACATGATAACATCAGTGTCAATATCTTATATTCAATTTAATCATAATTTCTTTTAATTTAATTTAGTTTAGTCTCTTTTCAAATTGAGACCAAATTTAATTTTTTTATATAAATGTTATGTTTAAATTTAAAATGCACATGTTTATTAAATATCTTTTTCATTATTTTTAAAATAATTTTAACTATATTATTAGAATATATTTATTATATTTATATTTGACTTTTTTCTATATGTAAAAAAATAAGTTTAAAGTTAAAAATAATGAAGAAATTTTCTTCTAATTTTAAACTAAATCTAAACACAATTATGTATAAATTATAGTAAGATGCAATCGTAAGACTTCAAATATGAGATGATAAATTAAAATTATATATATATATACATATATATATATATATATATATATAATTATGTAATATTTATATTTTTGGATGCTATAATAAGACGGTTTAATTTCTAAATTTTTTAGACCTCGTGAGGTTGTAGAACGTTGAGGAAGACTTTTAAATATTGGTTTCTCTAGAAAAAGAGTATTAAGTTTCTAATTTTTATATAAAAGAAAAAAAAAGGTCGATTGAAAAAAAAGCTCTTAAAGGTTCAATAAAAAAAAATATAAAAGAAAGAATACTTTATAAGACAATTGAGAGATTGTTTAGTATTTGTTAATAAAGTATGTGAATAAACATATAAATAGGAGAGAAAATGATTTAAGAATGTATAGTTAATGCTATGTTTATCCTAGTCTATATTTACTTTAAATGCTACTTTAAATTAAAACTATAGAAATTTTTTTGACAGGCATAGTCTGAATCAAAATGAAAGAGGAAAAATTGTGAATATTTTAAAATACCTAAATTATATTTAACTATATTATCACTTATTTAAACGACATTCTTTTATTTCATACAATAAATACATTAAGAATAACTTTAGAAATGTTATAAAAATTTTAGTAAATAAAAAGTAATAAGATAATATAAATGAAAGTATTTAAAAATGTGGTGGAGTTTATGAAATTATTAACCAACTATATAAATAGTAGTTGTAAAATAACCAAAGTTTATTCTCTTACTATTTGAATATAGGTTTCGGTTAACTCAAGTAATGTTGTCTCCAACTAGATTTTACCAATGTCAACAATCTTGTTTACCTTGGTTTCCAATCTTAACATATCCAAAATCTTCGATAGTATAGGATGTGAAATAATCACGGTGTGGTAATAAGGCAACAAAGTTAATATAACTCATTCATACTCTTGGTTAGTTAGATTAATAGAGTCATTTACATAAATAATGACAACTGGTGGTGGTTTTATCTTTATCTTTATTTTTATTGTTTCCTTTATCCCTTGATCTTTATCGCTTAAGGATCCTACATTTTTTAATCACATGTTCGAGTTTATTACGATGAAAACATATGATGTCTTTCTTTGATTTTAACTTCTCTCTTTGACTTGCTACAATCATTAAATTGTTGAGAGCAATCATTACATTTCATAGAATTTCTATATATATTTATTCATGTTGACTTCATAATAAAAGTTTCATTTTGAGTATAGAAGATAACTTTGTTGCTACCTTTCTCTTAGTTTCTTTAGTTAAGAGGTTATCCATGACTATGTAAACGTCAATTTTCCACTAGAAGCAAGTTACCAAGAGATACCATCAATGTCTCTCAGTTGCTTAGTAAGCAACAACAATTCTAGAAACCAATCATATAATACAATATCCATGGTGATAAGCTCATTCACCATATTATGAAAATTACTCAAGTGTCCACCCATTAAGCAATCATCCTTATAACAGCGAATGCTTTATTTAAAGAAATTTTATATTCATAAAACTCAATTAATCTCGTCCATAAATTGTAAGCAAGTGTCTCACTTAACACATGATGATAAATATATTTATGTATCAATTGTCTAATCATACCAATAGTCTTCCTATTTATCTACTAATTTAACATCATGTTTCAGTGGGATCATATAGGTCTTTATAAAATAAAAAATCTCCCATGCAAGATTTCTATATTGAATAATTTGTACAATTCAATTGAATAATGGTTCTAGGACTATCACATTTCACATCTTAGAGCACAAACCAGAGCTCTTGATTGAAACTCTTAATAAGAGTTGTTGAAAAGATAAAAAAAAAACAAATAACAAGAAGAAGTAAAAGCCTGAATGAAATGTTACTCAAATAAATAATATATGTAACAATAAGATGCTCCTAATAAAAAACGGACAAATAAATAAACATCGAAATGTTTGCAGAAAAACTTCAATATAAAAAAAATCTACAAAGTTTAGTTTAATAAAATCTTTCACAAATAATAATTAATGAATACAACACAAGTTTTTTTAGAGTTTATAAGGATCAACAGAGAAAATATTTTGATCACCAATAATATAGATAACAACACAAGAAAATATATTGAATACTTAACTAAACAATAGAGAGAACTCAATGTATAAGACATGAAATAGAACTCTTTTTTCTAAGCTAACTTCCATACACAGATTTGCACAAAATCCACTGAATGCTCATTTCGTCCTGTTGCTTGAGGCACTCACAATATGGAAAAGTAAAGAATAAAAATTTTCCCACACACCAACGAAAAGCCACACCTGTGCCGATTGCTGAATTTTTTGTATCTATCTAATGATGTGAAGGGGTGTGATCCTTTGGGAGAACACCACTATTCTTTAGTAGAGTCAACAAAAATTTTCTTCACTTTTTTTACATCACTTTAAAAAGTTATACTTTTATTCTCTTATTTTACCAAATCGTAAAAATCTACTTTAAATAGATTGCCGAATACGAAGGTGTTATGCAATATAATAGAATATAATAATTTAACGTGATAAATGGATGGAATATCAAGCGCTCAAATTACAACCACAACTAAAGTACCTGACACCAAAAAATAAAGAAGTTTCAGATAACATCTATGCATCTTTCTTAAGTTTTTTTTCCCTCACATAAACTTGAAGGAACTTTCACTTTAAATGATACGGAAATAAGTATACATGGAGGAGAAGAATCTAGAGATAATGAATATTACGCAATTGCATGCATAAATAAGCATTTCCCTCATTCATTATAGCTCAAAGAAGAAACCAAGTTATATAGCTTAAGAGCTTATATTATACATAAACATTAACTATGCCTATATCAATGGATCCTCTTGTTATCGAAGGTGTAATAGGTGATGTTTTTGAGTTTACAAGTTATGTTTCTCTCAAGATACTTTTAAAACAATTCATTTCAAAAAGTATGTAATAATCTTAAGTTTAAACTTTTCATTTTTGATGTTTCATAATTTGAGTTTTAATTCAGATCTGTCTTTTCTTGAATATAAATAAAGTCTCACATCAGATCAAACAAGAGATGGACATAAATTTATATACACATAAGATAACTCTATTAGTAAGAGATCTTTTGAAATGGTACCAAAAGCTCCCTATAAATGGTATCAGAGTCATGATTTTTGCAAAACAAGAACATTTTACCTAGGTTTCGGTCTTAAAAACCATTCCACTCTCCTATGCATTGCATAATTTTTTTGTTTAATCTCTGTCGTATACTTTTGAAGTTCCACGTTAGCCCAAGACTACATTCCCTTTCCTTTATTTTGTAGTGCATTCGTTATTCGTATATCTCTTTGTTGCTTGAGTTTGTCCTCTAGGGTCTCTTTGTTGCTTGAGTTTGTCCTCTAGGGTTTAATAAAAGTTTATCATTAATATGATATATTATACTAACTTTAAATAATCGATTGAGAAAATATATATTATATTAGTAGTTTAATAATACATTACATATTGAGTCCATTAACTTAAACTAATAATGTTTACTTTAATATTTTAACTCTGTCTAACAAATTTATTGAAAAGGTAAAGGACTACAAAAAGTAAACGAGCAATATATAAACTTATGTACATGATATTTTTCGAAAAAAAAAAATTCTGGAACTATTTTTGGATTTCGAAAAATAAATTCCGGAAGTGTTAAGATGCTGAAAGAAAAACGATTGGGTACAGGAAGCAATTTCCTGAATTTTATTACCTAGAGCCCATTCACATCATCTAGCATAGTAACATGCCGGTTATTTCTCCTGCACCCTTATATATTTCTTCTGGCACCCCTTCATATTTCTTCTAGCACCCTATAATTTTCAGAATTTATTTTTAGGAATGCTATAACTAATTTTGGAATTTTCTTTTGAAAAAAATCACCT